TAGTATGGGTGGGAGAAGGAAAAATAACTTGAGAGGTGACTAATGGCAGTGACATTGTTAAGCTGCTTCCCGTGGGGTCCTGTTTTGAGTGCTCTCTGAGCTGTCAGTAATGACTTGACAGATGGAGTCTGAGGCGATGCTGAACCAATCTGTAGGTGTTGCGGGGTTAAGAGCGGGTCTTATATAGTGTCCTGGAGATAATTTAGTTGAAAAACACAAACCTGAATTTCTGGTAGCAAGTCAGTGAGTAACTAGCTGCTTGCAAAGACTGATCAAATTCTGTAGGGGAGCAAGCATTGTCCTTATTATACTAAAACCTGCTTCTTCATTTTTTATTATTTATTTTTTGAAGCAATGCAAAAAATAGGTGCCTGATAGATATTGAAAATACCATGGAAAATTTTGCTAAGGTTTGCATTTCTGTGAGGAAATTTGCGAGGACTGCTATCTGACTACAATTCATATGTTTTAATCCAGAACTGCTGACCAACGTAGCTGCTAGCCTATAGCCACGTTCATCTCTAGAGATGACACAACACCCATGCTGGGTGGATTTGAAATACCTCCCCTTCTCTTCCCACACAACCACAGACCATCCCCTAAGCTCCCTAAAGAAAAATAGCACCACATCTCCTAATACTTTCAAGTGACAGGCAAATTGGAAATCTATGATGCTTTTATTATAGAATATTGTGCAGCTTGAAACTTGGAAGTAGCAGTCTGGTTTTCTCCTGACTTTTACTCTGCTGGATGATTTACACCTATGCAAAGGGGTTTGCTGACAGATCAGAATTAGAGCTCTTATTTTGCTCTGTTGTAAACGATTCCTCAACATGCACAATCAGGTCCTAAAGAAGGGAAAAAAAAGAGTTGTGAGTTGCAGTTTGGAGCCAGAACAAGTAGATTTTGCCTTTTTTGGCGACTGTAACGGTAAAGATACTTCAGGGCTTGGTGAAACAACCTTTCTTCCTAGCTCATCCTTCTGCTTTGTTTACATCTGCAATAAATAGTTATGGATGAGAGATGCCCGCTGCGTTCATCGTGCAGAAGCAGAGCAGCCCTAGAGGATGAGGTGTGGGGCTGTCTATGGGCAGTAAGTTATAGCGGTCTAATGCAGCATAAGTTTCCATCCTATAGATAAGTGTTTGCTAATACAACTGTTGAATGCATCAACCTGGATCATCCATTTCTGGAAATATCCTTAGCTCTGCTGTAAGATCATCCTGGCTGTGTAGGAGACACCCAAAAGTGGTGGGTTACCACTCCTCAGCTCCCACAGGTATCAGCCCTTCACAAAATCCAGCTCTAAGACAGGGAAGAGGTTGGCTAAAGTCTTATGGTGTGAACAATTTCCTTACGCATACTTGATGCACCTTTACGTATTTATGTCTCCAACAGCAATGGAATATATGTGTAAACGCAGATACTCAACCTATTTCTGCTGAAGCCACAGATCATGCAGCTCAGTACTCTGCTCCACATACTATAATTTTTACCTCTTTTTGTACAAGAAAACTGCAGTAAGCATTACAGTGGCTGTGCAAAAGACAAGTATATGGTTTAAGTTATGCTGAGCTATGTGGCTTAACTGTAGCCAAACCTACCTGACCACCCAGCTCTTAAATGCATAAAACTACTCCATTGCTATGCAGCTGCACTGTGCCAAAGGGGATAGTAAATCTAATGATGTTTAAGCCACTACAGTAAAGGTATCTTTGATCTGTACCTGAAAAACTTAATATTGCTCTTATATTAGGGATCAGATGAAAGTAAAATAAACCATATTCTGTATTATAAATGAAAATGCCTTTCTTCTGCTGGAACTAGAAAACAAAGCTCTTTGGGATTATTATGAGTGGCAGCAGGCATGGTGAGGCAGACAGAAGTCTTTTTCCCTTGTCGATCTTTGCGGTTGCATTTGGGGTCTGATTATTTTTTGTTGACTTGGTCATTCATCAAGTGTCTCAAAGAAATGGCACAAACAGTAGTTAAGCTCCTTCATTCTGTCCCTGCGGAGAAGGGAAGCAGCCGTCATCGCATCTGCCTCTTTGCTATGCTCATTGTAAAACTGGATAAATAAATTAGAGATATGATCGTTCAAAGAACAAACTGTAAGCAGCTGCGCGCTGGTGATTATGGATTCGGTGGACCATACTTCTCGGGTAAAGAAAACAGCAGCCATAGGAAACTCTTAGGCAGCAGTGTGGCACCTCTTGTATTATTTAGTGCATTGTCTTTGCAATCTTTGTGCATACAGAAATGCACAGCTAGCGATGTTATTCTTCCTAAGAGATGCCCTTTTTTTTTTTTTTTTTTTACTCCTAGAGTGCTTATTTTCAGAGTAGCACTGTAGACAGATAAGTCTTTTACGTCATTTATATTTTAGATACTCCGTATCTCCATAGACTGAGTATTTAACTTACTTGTGTGTGGAGGACTTTTTCAGAAGCAAATTTTATTCATCAGAGACACCCCTTTAATTAACTTCCACACTTCCATGGGGAGAGGAATATAAAGAAAGATAATAATAATAATAATAATAATAATAATAATAATGACATATCTTGTTACCATTACATATTATAATAAAATGCTGCAGGGAGTGGAGTTTCAAGGCCTCTTTTTTAATGAAGATCTTAATAGCATTTAATGTAAATTAAATATAATCACTGTCTGATTCCTAAGCTGAAGAATAAGAAGTTAATTGTGCCGACAACATAGTGGGAAGTGCCAAAATCAAGCACCAGCATGTTGGTTAAAGTGTGTTTTGAATTAAGAAGTGGAAGGCAGAACTTTTATTTTTCATACTCATGCTCCCAGTTATTTTGCAGCAGTTCAGTGCAAAGTTTGTGCGCAGCGTGGATTTATTACATAAGATTTCTAACATAAAATTTACATTAGAATGCAAATGAAGGAGACTTTATTTAACTTTAGAGATTGGGAAGGATCAGACGCATGAGCCTAACAAGCCATTTTACTTTGGGGATGGGGAGTTGCTGGTATGTAAATCCCTGACTCGTTCTGTGGGCAGATAATTTAATGAGGTCTGCAAAATGATTGGACGTCAACTCCAGCATCTTGCATTGCATTAAGAGGAATTAGTTGTCTAAGTCTCAGTTTTGAAACTGCTGCTTATGGAATTCATGCGCTTGGTGGCAAGATTTTCTTGTTTAAAAGATTGGGGATCAGGCTAACTGTGTACTCCTCAAGGTAGGTGACGTGACAGGATTCAATTCCCAGCTCCCTATCTTGCAATGACAGTGTGGAATACCTGTCTGTGGTAGATATGACCTCCTCCATCTCAAATTAAAAGTGATGTAATTAGTCAGCCGGTGCAGTGGGTCCTGGGATCATAAATAAATGAAATGCATTTTGATGAATGAATGCAGAAATGGTATCTTAATTTAACTAAGCAGAGCTGAGAATAACTAGTTATTGGATCCAGCCTTGTCTTCATATGAGATTATTTCTCTTTCCTGCATGGTGCTGAAGGAGTCCATGCCTTCTGTGTGCTTGTTCAACCCTTAACATACATCTGATTTACTGTTCTGCAGCTAAGAGATGTTTTCCTCATGGTACGCTTCAGGTACGCTTGCATACCTGGTAGGTACAATGCGTAAAATTAAGTGTCCTTTTATCCTAGACAGCTTTCCCACCTGAGCTGTCTGCAGAGAGATCTTAATTCAGTGGAAAAAGCCTGCCAAACTTTGCTATGGGGGTGACAATCGCAGTTTGTGATGCCTATGTCCGTCTTCCCTGACTAGATGGAAATGACAGTCAGTGGAGTGCTTGTTGAGAGGTCTCAACTTATTTGTAGTTAAGGTTGCATTTGGTAAAGACTGTTTGGGGGCTGGCCTTCTTCCTCAAGGGAGGTGCTGAAGGAGTTGATATAAGTCTTGAAAGAGCTGGTCTCCATCAGTAGACAGAGAAGCAAGAAGGAGCTAAAGAGCCAGGATGGGCCATGGGTATTCAGGACAGAAAGGCCATAAATAGTCATCTTAATATTTTTTAATCAAAGCACTTCTATTCACTCCACATCCCACCCACCCTGAAAAAAGAGCACTGACAAATGAGTCTTTTCAATACAACCGTGGCTCAGATGTGTCCTCTAAGAGAGAAAAAAGATTATTTTCTCCAGGTCTCTCTCGAGACTTTCTAGATTTTTTTGACTGAAGCATTATGAAAAACCACCCCTTTCTGACTAAAAAGATGTGAAGTTCTCCCTGGGGAAGCTTAGAGGCTGAAAATGCCCCATTGACCTTATAAAGCTTGAGAACTGGATTGAGCTAATAAATACATTTAGGCAGCATTTATGTCTCTTCCCTCTACTTTGTGTGGTCCCAAACAGCGACGCCAGCAACCAGTGCTTGCAAGAAATAATGGTACTGGAATTTGGGGTGTAAAGGAGAGGGACAACCATGACTGGAGAGGGGACTGGTTTGGCTCCCTGCCTGCCTGTTTCAGTGCTCATAAAGCAGCACTGCACCTTTGCGTTAATAGTGCTTTCCTGGAGATACTATGTCATTAGCAGATAGATGATCATGGTAAGTAAATTTGTCTTGCTCAATTTCTGTCTCTTCAAATTTCTCATCTGAGTACAAAATTTTCCTGGGAAAGCTATCAGGTAACTCCCCACTCCCATCTCTTTTTGCTGTACAACGCTTCTTTCGACAATTTTAGTGGCAGTACCAACAATCTGACGGCCTCGTTACCTGTCCACCCCCTATTTTCACCTTGTCTTCTCCCATTGACTTTGCAGGTCCACAGCCATTGTCTTTGTGCTGATCACAGGAAGATTTTGGGCAGCTCCTCGCTAGTATTTCCTACAGCCTTCTGGTTGCCATTGCTGGTCAAGATCCTGGACTTATGTAGTCCTACTGTGGTTCCATGTGCTGTGTGTTGTGTTGTCTCAGTCGCTCTGCAGCTTGATAAATTTCTGTAAGTGTCTCTTTATGCAATTAATTTCAATTGCAATTCCCATCATCTCTTCTCTTCTGCAGGCATGCAACCCAGCAGGAGACTAATAAAACCATCACGACTAGCACCAAAGCCATCAAGCAGCTGTCTGAGGTTGTCAGAGGCTCATCCAGGGTACGTGTCATTCAAGATGCTGTTGGGGGAGAGTGCTGGGTCTTATGGAGGGAGGAATAATGAAAAAAGAAGTGGTAGCGGGTGCTTTAAAGCTGTTGAGCGACATGTCTTGGGTTTAACTTCCTTTCCTGTTACACAATAAGCATAGCTTGCATTTATAAATGACCAATGGGCAAACAGCTGCAGAAACCAGTTCTTCTCCCAGAACTGGATCATGTGGAATTGGAAATCAAGAGCTCAGTAACCAAGCCTTGACTAGCTCCCGCCCATCTCAGGGTCTCACTCAGTTTGGGTGAAAGTCCTACGGAAATCATCTGGCTCCACATGGGTTTGGCACTGGTTAAAGACTCAGTTGTGCAGTGGGTGCGCTGGGTGCAGATCAGTTTGGAAGTGCGTTGAAGTCTCCGGAAAGGGCAAAGCTGTGGAATATGTCTGGATATGACATTCGTTCAGTGCTGTATGCTAGTGCAAAGGCAGCGGTGGGGATAGATAATTACAGGCTCTGGCCAGGTCAGAGCAGGACTCTGAATTACAATTTACCCCACAGCAACCCCATCCGTTGTACAACTCACATGGGCATCATTGTCACAGGGGTATGAGGGATCCCCAGTCCAACAAATGGATAAACAGAACATTTCTGACCTTTCCACAAAGACCTTTATACCCCATATGTTCCTGCTGACTTTGGCCTGTGGTCTGCATTGTGGGGAAGAACAGAAACATACTGGGGGTGGGCAAACTCCAGCTGGTGTGAGAGTTGAGAATCACCCACACAACAGGTGATTCAGCAATTGAAATGAGAATACGGACAATTCTTTTCTACTTCATTCTGCCTAGCGGCTTTCTGTTACATTCTTGCTTCCAGCATCCATATAGTTTCTGAGTCAGGAATTTACCTGAATTGGTGTTTTATCCTCACTCAGTCCCTGCCATTTTCCAAAGTCCTGTATCACTTCAACTCTGTTCTCACTGTCCTTCCACCTAGAAAAAACACTGCCTTAAACACACAACGTATCTCTGTCCAAGTGGTTTTTACAGCCTGGATTTGTGTCACTTACCAACAGGCGTAGGAGATAAGGGTCGAAGAGCTGAATCACCCCAGGCTACTTTTGTAACCTGTGGAGGACCAAGTACAATTCAGCCCACCTAAAAAAATGAATGGGTGATGGTCTGCTCCAGAGAACGGAGAGAAAAGCTTGGAATGACTGTTCCCATATGTAGACACTGACCTTATGCAAGCATCAGTCTTAATACTTTGGTCTTTTTTAACATGTTGCTTTGATTAGTGAAGGACTACAAGGACTGCTTTTTCCGTTTTCTTGCATACTCTGAGAACAATTACATCAGAGTTTGATGAAACAGAAGGTGCTTTCTTGGAGTTACGGGGATCTGGACGTTTTTGTGCTGATCTCCTGGCTCCATTTTGTGACATAAATTGGGTCCCCAAGGGAATCAGGCAAGGTCACCTTAATCCCAATTATAGTGCCACACATGAATGTCATTATTTGCCCTTGAAACCCATGTAGTGTCCACTGGGGACTCTCAAGAGTATAGCTTTTACTGTCATGGGGAGAAACATTGCTAAGTTAAAGGGAGAACATTTAAGAGCTGAAGGAAATAGACATACAAACAATTATAGTAATATGAGGAATAAACTTGCCTGTCTCTATTGGCATCACATAATAACTTTTTCTGCTCCCTGGTCAATTAATTTAACAGAATTTATTTTTTTAACTCTTCTTTTCTAACAGTGTGCAGTTTAAATAATTAAACCTCCAAATTTTGATATAAAGCCTGTAGCCCTCATCCCTTATATAGAATAAATAGATCTGGCAGGTATTGGCTGCTGGTGGTAGTTCCCTCTTGGGGATCTGGGTAGCACTGCAAACTTTTCTCCCATAAAATTTCTCACAGCCTGAAAAGCCTTTCATTAATTTAGACCTTTATAGTCAGTCCTTTCCAATCCATTATTCTGTGTATTGCTTTGCATGCACACATGGACAAAAAATATTTTTTTTTCCTTCTTCCTTATTTTCTACCAGTAATGCACTGCCAACAAGGTGCACTGTGGGTTTCTCCTGCTTCCCTTGAAGCTCCAAGTGCTGCTGAAGCTATTCGAGTCAGGATGCCCAACTGAACAAATTGGTAGTATTTTAGGAGCAAAGATACTCATGTAAGCGGATCAATGTGGTACAAGACAGGACACTGATGTAAAATAGCACATGGCTATTTTAGGGCTTCCTTTCAAACTAATCTCGAAGGACTGGGGAAGTTTAGATTGGATATTAGGAAAAATTTCTTCACCGAAAGGGTTGTCAAGCACTGGAACAGGCTGCCCAGGGAAGTGGCTGAGTCACCATCCCTGAGGGGATTTAAAAGCCATGTAGATGTGGTGCTTAGGGACATGGTTTAGTGGTGGATTTGGCAGTGTTAGGTTTATGGCTGGACCTGATGATCTTAAAGGTCTTTTCCAACCTATATGGTTCTATGATTCTACGGCTTAAATAGAGACACCTATGTGGAATTCCAGGTTTTTGTAGAATGAGTGCTGGACAATTAGATCAGCTCTCCAGGGTGGCAATCTTATCTTCTTTTGCATATGTAACAAATATAAGGTTTATAGACCTTTATCTGTAAAATGGGAATAATACTTGCCCTGTTCTAAAAAACGTTTTAAATCTTTGGATGAAGAACTGTAAGACTGGGGTATTCTTCTGTGTATGAAAATACTACCATTAAAAATTAAAGATATTTATCCTATCCTTTATAAAATTTACTTTTGTATTCTTAAGCAGTTGTCTGAAAGAGCTGAAATTGCTGTAAAGTGAATATTTCTGCTTAGGAGCTTCAGCGTAGATTGGGTTTTGTTTGCTACTTTTTTTTTAAGGTGATGCCTCACTTCCTTGCAGTTCTTTCCCCTTTGTAAAACTGGACATGCAAGTTCCAGCACACCTGACATCTGAGATCCAGGAGGTAGAATAGTTCCAGAAGAATTTTCATTGCCTGACACAGTTTGGGTTTGGTCACTCCATCTAAGAGCAGCGATTCTGCAGCATGTTGGATAGTTACGTCACTTTTGTTTAAAACATAGATCGGTATCTTGCTGGGGGAAGCTCCAAAAAGAAAGGCGGTGACATTTGGGTACATGTTTTGAAAAAACATGGAGATAAGTTGGTTTCTTACAATCAGGTCCTAGGCCAGGCAGAAGGAAGGTTGGTGTGGCCGATGGACCTCTCAAGTCCAGTAAATCACCCGTTACCATCAAATGAGGTGATGAACTCCATCATTGGGTATCATCCAAATAATGGACTTTTTGACAGCAGGATCCCTTGGGTTATCATCTCCAGCAGATAATCCGAGGCTGGATTGTAGGAAGTAGAAGCAGGATACCATCTTACAACCATTCTGTTCTGTTGATGGCAGTAAGGTATTCATTTGCTTGCGTTTCACAGTCTTTAAGAACTGGTATTGGAGTGAGACCCCCTTCATGCAGTAAGCAGGACAGCAAAATGTCCCACTATATATCCCTGCCACAGAAGGTGTCCGGCTCAGACAGCAGACCACACAGCAGTCATGACTTGAGTGCTATCTTGAATATCCAAGGTGCCATTTTTTTTTAATTTCTTTGGCCTGAAAGATCAAAGCATCTTGTGCTCCCTTCCTAAAATAAAACCTTGTAGCATCCTGGCAGCCCCAGTGAAATTGAGATTTTAGAATACTGTTTGTGCCCACTTTGTTTACTTGGTGTCTCCCACCAGGACTGTTGCCCATGGTCACAGGTAGAGTCTACTACTGGATTTATATCTACAGATCTGCTAACCAGGCCTCTGTTTTTCCAAAACAGCAAGAACGACTTCAGCTGGACAGGCTGAAGAACCAGCTGTCTGATGCCATCCAGAGATACGGAGCTGTGCAGAAGGTGAGGGTCTCTCTTGCTTCCACTCTTCTGCACGTGAGTTTGGGAATGCGAGCGTGGCTCCCAGGAACGTGGAGCATCTCCACAGAACTGCTCACGTGTAGTTCCCTCCCTCTTTTCTTACTTTATCAGTCAAGCAGTGTATCATTACATTGGAATATGCGCACGCATGCGACTGCAGAACAATTCAGCAGCAATGGAAAAGAAAAAAAGTGTGCTTTTGCCTGCTGTGTATCTGGTAGGACCTTCAGTGGTACCCCTGGATTAGGCACGATTTATTTTGATGTGTCTTCACTGTCAGAGAAGAAGGAGAAGTGATAGCACAGTGCCCCTTTCACCTTTTCTGCTTACAGAAAATGTGCGGGCAACATTGCTAATTGAAAGGTTAACCCACGTTATAGCTCTGCTGTGTTATATGGCTTTGTCAGAAGATTTCCAAACACATCTTGTGGGTTGGACCTGTCACCAGGATCAAGCTGTTTAATAAAACAAACAAAACCTGAACTCCAGCTCCTTAATTTGCTTCTTGCTTTCCCACTTTACCCTGGAGAGGCTCTACTGATGAGCAGATTTGCTTTGCTTTTAAACACTGTAGTAATGATTTAAATTTACCATCCTCAAACTGCTTCTCTCCCCTGCAGTAACAAGTTTGAACATATACCTGGATTAATTGAAATACAACCTGGACAAACTCTGGCTGCTTTCTTATACTACTTCAGTGAACTTGACCCATGCCTGCAACACATGGGAAGAATATATTGTAATTATATAGGTGTAATGAAATTTACATGCACTTAATAGTGTATCGCTATTAGAAAGACTCTGTACTGATTGATTTCCCAACACTTGCTGCCTATGGTTTATAAATAAATAAATAAATAAAAGCACATAAAAATGCACTTCAGCAGCATGGATTTTATGTAATAGCATTGCATTATCTCTAGTGCAATCTCGTATTTTTAATTATTTTCTGTTCTATTCAGAAACTTAGGTGTGGGGTCTTTAAATGAAATCTTTATCCTTTAAATGAGAATTTGGAAGGATTCAGGCAAAGGGGCTCCATCCCCATATACACACACATTTTTAATGTTTTCCTTTTATATTCACAAGTACAATCCATCTAAACTATACATGTAGGTTTGGGTTTTTTTTTAAAAAACTGTCTTCAATTCAGAAGTGCCAAAATTAGCCACTGCAGTTTGTGAATGCCCGGTTGCGTCAGGAAACCAATCTGAGTGGTAAATTGCTACTTATGCACGTCCTAGCTGTCATTTCTTAAATGTGTGTTTCAGTTGATAACCTTGTCATTCTGGAAGCTTTGAAGACTTTTAATTCTTGCAAGACCAAACTTTTCAATGTGATTATACTCCCTTTCTTTTTCTAAATAATAAGAGCTTTCTCTGTGTCTTTTTCTTTAAAAAGCAGAAGAAATAGCTTCATATGATTCCTTCCCTAAATATTTGGACTGTCTTTTCTGAGCCATTTTCCCTCTTTTTTTTCCATTTTTACAGAAAATAGCAGAGAAGTCCAAAGCTTTGCTTCCTACTGGGCAGAGAAGTACCAAACAGGTAAGTTCATGTGTGTCTCTGTGTTTGACAGTAAGAACATTGCTAAAAAAAGGGCTGTTTTCTAACCCCACTAATGATGCTGAAGAGCATGGTGCTCCCCCACTGCCTACATTGAAGCCAGTGAGGTGGTTTTCAAATAGAGATGTACGACCTCTTTGGAGGTGGAAGATACGGGAACCAGGAAAAAAAGACGTATGTAAGACCTGTTTAACTATTCTCTGCTTTTCTGTTCTCATGGGGCTGTTTTTCCATTCTTAATGGGAGTTTTGTCTACTCTGAAATATATCCAAGAGCAGTCCTGTACCCCCTTCCCTGGGAACCGGGCTCATAGGCAAGTGAAATCACACTCCAAGTACAATTTCGTAGAAGGAAGCGAGAGGAGCTTTTATCAAACCTCTGTCCTCAGTTTTAAGAGGGATCATGCAGTCTACATTAACTATTATATACATAGGCAAATAGAGCCTTTTTTTTCTCTTTCTAACCATATTAAGGACTTTGAATAAATACTATATGTAATCAGAGTATATACATTATAGTTTTGTGCTTATATTTAGTTTCATATGTACATGCATGTGTATGTATATATAAAATATAATTAAATGTATGTGTGCCTGTGCACATATGTAACATGATTAAGAGTGTAAGGATATATATGTGTATATATGTGTGTATATATATATGCATATGTGAGTAGTCTTTCACAAATAGTAATGCAAAATACTATATATGTAAATAGCAATGCAAAATACTATATATGTAATATGTGTGTATGTGTGTATAAGAAATCTCCACAGATTTCAGTGAAAGGTTTGAAGCCAGGAGATCAGTTAGCTGCAGAGATCAGGTTGGCCTTTCAAGTCCCCCACACTAAAAAGCTTTAAGTTATTTGCAGTTGATACCATGCCACCAAAAAACGAAACTCTATGCCTAGTTTCAGTGATTATTTCTGACATTCTTGATACTCTTGTCTTTTCTTTTAAGGGGCAGTCAGCAGATTTTCTGCTTTCCTAATGAATCTTCATTCCCTACCTTGTGCTACCTGGTTTTTATATCCTCCTTAACATGTATATAAGAAATAATTGTTCTTTGTAACATTAATGCTTCTCTGTAAAGAAAGGTGGAATGATGCCACCAAAGACCCTACCATTAGGGCAAGTCAATGGCCCAAAGCTTTAAAATTAGCTAGGTTTCAAGCAATTACAATTCTGCATCAGACCTTCTTGTCACTTAGTTGGGTTTAGGTGGTAGTGCCAATGAAACTAAAAGGGCTTTGTGTTCCAAAGGGCTGATCTATTCCTTTACCCTTCTTGAGAGTTCCCACCGCCACCTTTGGAGAGCTTGTGCACAGATGTTGCTTTTCAGCTATGCGTTTATAAAAATGTTACAGCTTATTTTTGTCCACCAGCTGGTGATCCGTATTGAACATGGGTATGGTGCATGGTCACAAATAGCATATTTTTGAATGGTGGTCAAATGCACCCAGACGTCATTTATTGGTTTTGATGGTTGAGCTCAGAGATAAGGGGGGTTATTTTGTGCAAATTCGCTGTGATTTCTTTTCATTTCTTTTCGTTAGACTGCTGTTAGTGGAGTGGATTGCAGAGGTGGGGACAGCTCTGGTCTTGCCTGGACTACCACATGTTTGCATGGCTGTGGCTGTTCCATATAATGTGGGACGCTGCTGGCCATTAACCAGTGCAAATAGGATGAAGAGGGCTAATTATTGCATAGCTGTTGTGCATCCCTGCACCTGGAGTAAGTCTGGATGCAATCAACTTTTTTGGTATATTGAAAATGGTTGATGACTCCAAAAACAACCTTCTCTGGAAATGAGCGGAGTTTTAATAGGGTTAAAAAACAAGGTGTCGGACAAAAGTACTCAAATCTTGGAGGCAAGTGATGGTGGGGTTGGAAGTAAAAGGAAGCTGGAGGAAGAACAGGACGGAGACAAACCCATTTACCTTAAACCAGGTAAGAATCCAACCATTAGGAGACTGTAGCAGTAACAATTTGGTGTGGGTCAGGCAGCATCAGCAGAAATTGTGTTAAACTGGATCAGCCACAGATTGTTTCCCCTTGTAGCTGTCACTTGCAAATGAATGCTGGTGGTTGGCTTCAGTACATTATGAAAAAGAAGGGGGTTGTAGTATGTCCTTGGGGAGAGGCTTCTGGCTCAGAAATAGGCTTGATCATGCCCAAGAGCACATACTTTTCATGCAGTGACATTTGCTTGGGCTGGAGACACGTGAGGTTTCATGCAAACTGCTTGAAAAGGATGAAAGTTAATTCACATCTGTTTCAGCTTTCCTATATGTTTGCAGATTCACACGTCTTCTTTTCTTCCTCCTTCAAGTACAAAAAGAGAGAAATTGAATGTAGAAAACCTGCTGAAGGGAATGCAGTGGTGTGCTTGTTTTTTACTTATTATTTTACCAACTGCAGATTGGTCAGGATATGCAAAATTATAATTCCCACAGCAACTGTAACCTGACCACTATGTGCATATATTAAGGCATTAAAGTTAACACCCTATACAGTAATGCAAAATACTACATATGTTCAGAGGACCTGATTTATGGGTCTTGTGAGACTGCATAGTGAACTTCTTGACTTGATGCAGATCCAGTCTTGATTCAAATACCGCTTACCTGCAGGGCTTTGTTTTATTTTATTTATACTTTAATTTATTACAGGAAATTGTAAGAGGCTTGAAGAATGCTAGTTTTTCTATATGCATGTCCCTATATTCCTTCTCTTCTATTGGTGGGTGGGAAAGGTAAGGTGTTTGGTAACACAAACTCTAATAATTTCCCTTTAGGGAGTAATTGATTCCCTAGACTCACATAACAGGTAAAAATTGGAAAGTAAAGCTTTGGGAAAATTACTCTCCTGCCCATTGTGGTTTGCTGTAAGTACTTTTTAATTGAGTTTATTTGTTTATAAAAGCAAAATAAAGGCATTGATCCAAAATTCCTTGAAGCCTGAAGTTATATAAATTCTTAATCAAATATGTGTTTGTAGGAATGTATTTGTGTGTAGCCAAATCGATGTACTTCTATAGGTGCGTTACTGCATATATTGAAAGACAAATATTTTTACTACACTAAATGATCATTGTTGAACGTGAGTTGCGGCAACTATTTAAAAAAAAACAAACCTTTCCCTTGAATCTGTGAAAGCAATTTTAAATATTCACCCAGTGGCCAAAATGAGACCTCCAAAGTCTCATTAAGGGAGTGCACAGGGGAATCCTGGAAAGCAGCTTTCCATTTTTGAGAACTGCTGTTACAGCACACAGCAGAGACGGTGATGTACTTGGGGATACGTTTGCTGCTGGTTCCTGCTTACGTATGGGGCAGACGTACCTCAGATCCCACCTTCTCCCCCTGCACAGACGTACCCTGGTGTAAAGCAGTTCTTCCTTCCAGGCAGAGAGTCCGCTGTAGGAGAGGGAATATTTCAGGTGTCCCCCATAGCAGTGGGACAGTGGGCAAGTGGTAGGAGAGGTTGGACAGCTGAGTAGACCCGTCCTCTTGGGCTAAGTCCATCCCATGGTGCAACAGTTGGGTATAATAAAATATGATAATGTTCTAACAGCACAGAATAGTTTATCCATAATGTGAAAATAATAAATGATAGCCTGCAGAAAATCCACAAAATAGCCAATAATCCCTCTGAACATAGAAGATGAAAAGAATCCTTCTTTTTAATTCTTTTTAATTATTGTGCATCTAACATCATCTGCTTCCCATAAAAAGACGAATACATTATTGGGCCCATGACTGAATAAGTTCAAGCGATATTAAACCCAGCAGCAGACTAGGCTGACAAGCTGAGGGCTCCTAAGGATCTGTTCCCGGCAGTGCCTAGCAGGGACAGCCCGGTTTCGGCAACCTTATGGCATCTGCAACATGTCTTTGGGCCACCTCCATCTTTCCTGGATCCTCGCTGACCACACTTAGCCATCTATCTTCTCAACTAATGAGGAGGAAAGTGGGCTTTCTCACCATGTAGACTTTGTGGGTGGTTCCCCAAAGGGAGTGGGAGAAGGGGAAGCACAGTTCTGTTTTAGCTGAGAATTGAGTTTTAAACTAAAAGCACACCAAAAATCTGAACAGACTTTTTTTTTTTTTAGAGGAAACTTTCCTGACAATTTTTAGAAATTAAAATTACAGTAATTGTCATAGTGTAATGGCACCCCTCTTCATTTCCTGCTGCTCACGGGGAGAGGGAAGGATAATTACTGCTCTGGAACATGGCAGTTGCCAAAAGAGATGCCTTTGTTTCTTATTCCGTAAGCCTACTTGACCCGTCTCTCAAAGGTCAGTAAATTATGTTTCTTAGGAGTACAAGAATGGGTAATAAACCTCTATTTGCATATACAAGCTTTTTTCTCCTGACTGCATCAATTTATTCGTGCTTTAAATGGACTTCCTTCTCACATCATTTCTCTCTTTCTTCCTGTGTTTATGAAGTTGTTCTTTTTATGTGATTAGAGTAAAATTCTCATTTTGGGGCAGCAAGATCCAATTCTTGTCTTTATGGGAGAATAATTTTTTGGCAATAATATCTGCATAAACCGCATATATGTATGTGTGTGTGTAATGACTCTAGTTATTTGGGCTTCTATTTTTACAGGGTCCTTATCATGGTAGATGCTGTATAAGCACAGCTATTAGATTGTGCCACCCTGAGGATCTCGCAGGCTAAGCAAACACCAACAGGCTATTTTGAACGATAATTAACGAGGAGTTTTTAATGCAGTAGGTGCTCTTCATGCTGGAAGTCCAAAGCTCAGTTTGCAACTGGCTTCAACATTCGGGAGAGGTTGATGTGCGTATTTTTCTGAAATGCAAAATTGAATTTCTCACAATCAAAATACAGCTTTTGCCCCGACAAATGGAGCTTTTTTATTTACGCATTTATCTTATTGACTCTAACATCTTATCTTCGAACTCATCCCAGTTCCTAATGTTCCAGTCTGGCTGGTATATCTTAGGAAATCAAGCCTTAGCTTTGGTGATAATGTATCTTGCATGTGTGGTAGTAATTGCTGTGTCTTTTCAAGGTCATTTCGTATGCAGCTACTGCTGTAAAAAGTGTTATTTCAATAATGTCAACTTTGGTTTAAATGACTGTGCATCCATTAAAAGCCATATTCTAATCAACCCACTCCTCTGTTCCTAGGGCTGTCAATATGGAGCATTTAAATCACACGGCTATTTTTTCTTGACTTTATTTAAGTGTGGGCTTTTGTTTGTTTTGTGGGGTTTTTTTAAGGCGATCATTAAAGCAATTTTTCTTTTTTTCTTTTTCTGCCTGTTTGGGAGTAGGGAAATAGATTCTGATACAGGGATTTAATAAGTGGCTGGAAATACATTCATACCTGATTTGCTTTATTTGCTCCCTATATTCCCAAGGGAGATGGAAACTATTCTGAATGGCCCAAAGCACTGTCCTTGCACTGCTTCCAGTGGGTCTGAGAGAGGAAGGTCTTTTCTGCTCAGCATGCCCGTGATCTTGAAAAAAAATGCCAGTGGGCTTTATAGACACAGTACTTCACTAACTAACCATTAAACTCCCTTTGCGCTGTGTCAGGGCTGCAGCACTTTGCAACTGTAAGGGTTAAAATGAAGAATCCTCCGTTCTTAAGGGCAATAAAAGCTGCACCACAGCCCTTCGGAAAACCTGTGTTCCTCATGCTGCTTGTGCCTGCACACAGGTTTTATGGGGCAACGGGAGTGCTCAGGACTTCAGTGTTGCATGTAAAAACATGTAAGAAACCCCCCAGATCCTGCTATATCTTTAAAGGAGGTAATTTGCAAAGGCTAGAGACGTGAGCTTCCAATAACGTATAGCCCCTTATTCTACAAAAGGAGAAAAATAATAAAAAAACAAACCTATATAAAGACCAAATCTGTATAACCACATTTGGGGGGAACTTGCCATTTCCTAAATTGCCCAAACAATTTGAGCACTGTGGATTTTCCTTAACAATCCCCTATCGAGTGCCTGTCATGGGATAAGCCTGCTTTGCTTGCCTGTGTCTGCTGATGTAGCTAGAAACTGCAGCTGCCTATATCAGCACCTGAGCAAAGGATTTTGTATTCATTAGCTGGGTTTTCTGGTTAGTTGAGGGGTTTTTTTTTGTTTGTTTGGTTGGTTGTTTCTTTGTGGGTGGGGTTTTGTTTTTTTTTTTCTTCTTCCTTTTGTTTGAGTGAGAAAGGACAGAGGTTTTAATGTGGGCAGAGGATGAAGGCAGGGGAAGGGTTTCTTTTGTATGAAGCCTCCTCCACAGCAGCTCGCTGGCTTCACACGCCGTGCTGATGCCGCTCTCCTCTACCCCAGCTCTGAGTCACTACCGGAGCCGTCTCGCAAACCGAAGGGTTGTTTTGTCTGGAATGAGCCAGCCTCACCGCCCAGCTCTGCAAGCGCTGGCTTATTATGCTCCCAAATCCTGGGGCCACTTTCCATCACCCCACGCCACCGAGGACCCTGCCAGGAGGACTACGCGGGGCAAACGGTTGACGCTGGGGTTGCGTGGAGGCGTTTGAGGTCATGGGATGAAATGCTGGCATGAACGTGCCTTGTTAATAGGAGAGAGCGCTTTGACGGAGAGCCAATCTATATTGTGCCCAGAGGCTCAGACAGATAACATAACTCAACCAGTACCCACATCATTATTCTTCCATAGCCAGTGACAGCTCTGCAAATATTTTTCACCATTGCTCGTGATAGCTGCCGAGGTAGTTGCAGTTCTCCTTTCTCCTCCCAGCTGTTAAAGGATGTTGCAAGTACCCGTGTCTTCCTGCCAAATCAGGGTCATCCGTGGAAAGGGATCTCTGCGCCTGTAAAGATGGGAAAAAACCTTTCTCGCCTGTTGCGTTAGGTCTGGCCGTTTTTTCAAGGGGCGCTGGCTCCTGTTTTCTCATGAGTACTGCTTTTTGCACAGTGAGTGTGGGCAGCGCATTGCTGCGTGGTCCCGGTCAGCACTGCTGACGTGGATGTGCGTATCTATAGATATATCTATATGTCTGTATATCTATAGATATCTACATCTACCTATATATAAAAAAAAAAAGTATAAAAATAAATGTATATAGTGACCGGTGTGGCCAGTTGGGTTGATACTCGCCTTGGTTGGAGAGCTTTGTCCTTGCATGCAGCTTTTCTGGGCGGTAAGGGTCACCTTTGGCAGCACTGTCAGATCTGGGCTGACAGCAGTGTAAGGGGAGAGCAAATGCAGGCCAAGATCCCAGAGCTGATGAAATGGAGGCTGGGTCTACAGGACATGTGTGGCCATGATGGCAGTAGTATAATTATAAAAAAATGAACCTCTGCATCAGTCTGCAAGCTTGAGTTTTGTTCACGCTATAGCCTTTTCTTCCCTATATATTCCTTTTTTTTTTTCCCCGTGCAGGCGCTTGATGATATAAGTGAGTGGTTTTGCACACTGCAAGTGGAAGTGGTTTCTGCTGGTGTGATGGGGATGCTCGTTCGACCTCATCCACCTCCCCTCC